GGTCGAGGCTGCGGTGGCCAGGAGCGGCCACTGCACTCCAGTCAGGGCGACAGAGTGAGACTCCAACTCAAAAAATAAAAATAAAAAACCTGACCCATCCTGTGTCCTCACCACCCCCTCAGAGCTCTGCTTTTTGGATGCACTACTTTTTTTTTTATTTAAGTTGGAGTCTCACTCCACTGCCCAGGCTGGAGAGCAATGGCACACTCACGGCCACCCTAGCGTTGACCCGCTGGGCTCCAGTGATCCATCTGCCTCAGCCCTCCAAGTAGCCAGGACTACAGGTGCGCGCTACCACGCCCGGCTAAGTTTTTGATTTATCATAGAGATGAGGTCTCGCCAAGTTGCCTGGGCTGGTCTCAAACCCGAGGGCTCAGGCAGTCTTCTCACCTCAGCCTCTCAAAGTGCTGGGATGACAGGCTTGAGCCACTGCGCCTGGCCTTGGATGCACTACTTTTTACTCAGGTGTGGTGGGTTGTTACAAGGTGCTGGGCCAGGACCTCAGGACCACTGGGCAGAAGTTCTGGCTCAGCCCCTGCCCGTCTGCAGCCTTGGAAAAGGCACGACTACCTGCGGGGCTGTTCCCCATCTGCAGAGGGAAAGCCCTTGTGGCCTCGGCCCTCTGGGATTCTGTCCATGGTGAGGCAAGTGGAGGGAGGACACTGGGTCGCAGGAATAGACCTCCTGAGTTTCCTCCCCTTCACTGGCTCCAGGGAAGCCTGACAGTTCCCCCAGACTGGGGGCAGTCAGGGTCCAGGGGCAGGAGGCTTGGCTGTGGGGAGCAGCTGCCTCTGTGGGTCCTGGAACAGGGCAGGGGAGAAGGGCCCGAGAGGCAGCTCTGGCTTGGGGTGTGTCTGTGCGTGCATGTGCGTGCGTGCGTGCGTGTGTGTGAACCCAGAGCGGTCCAGGCAAGCTCAGACTGCAAAGGAGCCCTGCCCTTGGGGAGACCCAGCCCCGAGGCTGCGAGTTTCTCTCTCTCGGTTCCCAGTGGAGGGCAGGGGAGAGGAGGTGTGTCTGCAATTCACGCCCAGGAGGCAAAGGTTTGTACCGCCCTGCGGAGTGGGTGTTGCACCATAGAGGATGTGAGGGAAACTGCGCACACACACACACACACACACACACTCCCCGCCTGCAGCATAGACTCATAAATACACACGCAGACAAACTCACAGGTGTCCCCCACCCCTGGCCTGTGTGGCATGGACATAGAGACCCACATTGTCTCACACACACACACACACAC